CCACAGAATGTCTCTGGTCTATGGTTGTTCATTATTTTTGTTATTTTCTCGCCTGGTCCATTATACTCCTGCTATGAGTGAGACCATCCGTCAATACCCTTTATTCTTGAATACCCATTATTCCTGTTTTGACACCCACTTTAAATCCCTACTTACTTGCCACCCCCTAAATTTTTCATTCTTAATAATAACCAGACTGAGTATTTGTCAAGTACAGAAGCTGAGCTTGGGAGGACCTCTCTCCTCCCCAGAGCTTGACTTGTCCCATGCTGGAGACCTGCTCTGATCCTTCCCCATCACACCCCTGCCAGGTTTATGTTCATCCTCATGATCATCCTGACCGCCTTCCTCTGTGGCCTCAACAACATCTATGTGCCCTACCAGAAGACAGAGCGGCTGGGCAAGTATGCAGGGGCAGAGGCGGGTAGAGTCTGGGCCCCTGCAGCTGAGTGCCTCTTCCTTTCTCACTCCCTCATCTGTTCACTCAATATTCAGTATTCATTCTCTGGTTTGGTGAATCACTCCCTGCTTGATCCACACCCACTCATTCATTCATTCATTATTTATTCTCACTTTGTCTCTGAACTCCTAGCTATTTGTTCATGGATGACAACTAATTAGGTCATAAGTATGTTTACTAAAATTCTCATGATAAGCATTTTGACTGAAGATAGTTAGGAACATTTCATATTCAACAGACAGAAATACAACCCATCATATCAGCATTTAGAAAGAACACCTGGGGTGTAATGTAGAGAAGGGAATAAGGAGAGAGACAGAGGCTAGAGGCCAGTTGCAGAGATTGCTGCAGTAATCTAGGCCTGAGCTGGCACTAAGATGGAGGCAATAAGACAGAGACATGAATAAATATAATTGCAGGGAGAATGTGGTCAGGTTTACAAGTAACTCTGGAATAGAGAAGGGAATGCAGCAAAGGCTTCCTAGAAGAGGCAGCACTAGTGTTGTTCCCACTGTTGTCTAAACTATCATCCCCTCTCACCCAGACCATGGCAACAAGTTTCCTAAGTGGTCTCTGTGCCCCAATCTCTCACCCTCTTTTTTCCTCTACTCAAAACAGTCAAGGTGATCTTTTCAAATGTAAATCAGCCCTCTGCTTAGACCTCTTCATAGCTTCCTAATGCTGATGGCCCTGGTAAGGATCTTTGTTTTTATCCTAAGAAGTCCTGAATGTTCTGGTTGGTCCCTACTTACCTCTCATAAGGCTCTCGCCTGTGTCCTCCAATACCAGCTCTGCTAACCTTTTTTTTCTCCCAGCTCCTCAAATGCCCCAGGCTCTCTGCCTTGAGGAACACTTCTCCACATCTCCTTCCTTCTCACCTGTTGATTTCCTTGTATCCTTTAGAACTCAGCTTAAATGCTTCTCAAAGAAGCTTTCCCCAATTCCAAGACTAGGAGCATACCTTGTGCTGCTCCTTCACTTCACTTGCCACAGTTTTAAGCTATTTGCATTATTCAAATTCTCACCCCAGAGCATCAGTTCTTAGGCAGGATGCTCAATAAATATCAATTGACTGAAAGAATAAAAGTTGCAGCATACAAATGGCAAGTGTCTATATGGGCTGGGCTGGTCCAAAGGCTTCTTGGAAGTGGAATGCCTTTGGTTGGGTCCTGGAAGGAGAGGGGCGGGGGTGTCTGAGTGACCCTCAGGCTCATTTCCACCCCTCATGCCCCCCCTCTTTACTTGGCCCCCATGCCAGTTTCAATGAGACATTCCAGTTTCTGTTCTGGACCATGTTTGGCATGGAGGAGCACAGTGTGGTGGACATGCCTCAGTTTCTGGTGCCTGAATTCGTGGGCCGGGCCCTCTACGGCATCTTTACCATCATCATGGTCATTGTGCTGCTCAACATGCTCATTGCCATGATCACCAACTCCTTCCAGAAGATTGAGGTGCGTGAACTGAGAGCAGGTTAGGCCAGGGAGAAGGAGGGAGAACAGGAATAAGGAGTTTAGACGCTGGGTGTCTGCTCTGCATCCACTGCTGTCTTGTTTTGTGACTTGGGGCAAGATTCCCTCTTGGCCTCATTTTCTTGATCTATAAAATGCAGGTCTTAGTATATGTTTCTCTAGACACAAATCTAGTGCTCTTTCCACTTTATGTTTGGGAGGAAGAGAGTATTTTGGGGAAGTATGTGGGAACCTGAGAAGGGAGAGAGAAGAAGATTGATGGGTTAGGGATTGTGGCTGGAGAGGGATGTCAGAAGGATGAAAGCTAATGAGAGGAAAGAGAGGAAAGAGGGAGACAAGCAGGGAAAGTGTGGGTAATCAGTGAGGACAGAGATAAGAATGGGGAGAAGAAAGTGGTTGGCTCACTGGAAAAATGCTGTGAGGCAGCCTAGGTGGGCAGGAGGGCCAGCCACCAATGTTGTCCTCACTGAGCCCCCACCTGCTGGACCCCAGGATGATGCTGATGTGGAATGGAAGTTTGCTCGCTCCAAGCTCTACCTGTCCTACTTCCGAGAGGGCCTGACGTTGCCTGTGCCCTTCAACATCCTGCCCTCTCCCAAGGCCATCTTCTACCTTCTCAGGTGATGACCTCAGAGCTTCACTTCCACCTACCCCACACACCCAGCACTCCCACAGCAACTACTACTCCCAGTACCTTAGACCCTCCCTCTGATGAACCTTTTATACTATCTAAATCTCTCAGGAGAATTTTCCAGTTCATTTGCTGTTGTTGTTCCTGCTGCAAAATCAAGAAGCGAGACTATCCTCCACTCCCCACCTTTGTGAGTACCTCATCTCCTAGGTGTTGGTCTTCTTCACATCAGAAACCTATTGCTTTTACATTCTGTTCCTTTGTCTACACATCCCCAGCTTGTCTGTCTATGCAGGTGTCTTGCCTGGGAAGTCCATCTCCAGTTCCTATTCTCTCACATAGTTTGCCTTTCCCTCTTCCCAGCTCTGATAATTTTCTAAACTTCCAACCCTGGATCCCCAGATGAAGAAGGCCTTCCTTCATCTGGTAGATCAATAGGAATCCAACAAACACTTACCAAACTGGAGAGAAAGGCAAGCCTGACGCTGGTCCCTCAAGTTGCTCCGGGTCTAGCATAGCAGCAGAAGAAAACAGACTGTAACCTTCCAGTATGACAAGGCTCCAATAGAAGGAAATGTGGGGTGGGGGGGCTCTTGGGGTGCAGAGGGGAGCCTCAGATCAGGTGCTTCCCAGAGACTTTATGTGCAGAGTAGAATCCTGAAGAATAAACAGGAAGTTGATGGGCAACACAGGAAACAGCATGTGCAAAAGCACAAGACACAACACCAGAAACTGAAGGCCCTAAGTTCCATCCCCAACCACATGGGGCCCCAACCACATGGGGCTTCTCGCCTATTGGGAACTGTGACTCTAGCTTCTGAAAGTATCACCATTCTTCTCCCCTTCATCACCATACCCAGCCCCTCTACCCTTTACCACTTCCTGACCCGGTCCAGACTACCTAATGCATATTTGCAGACCACATGTCAGAGGTGCCTGCACACAAGGAGAAAATATAACTTAACTGAGGTTGCATTCAATGCTCAGGCCCGCGCCCAGGCCTGGATGGGCAGTCTCTGCATCCTGACAGGTCCCACCCTCCCAGCCACGTGGCTATTTCCCAGTCTTCCATTGCACCCACACTGAGGTTCCCTTCTTCCAGCTGCCCCCACCTCTCTGACCTGTTCTTTGGTGTTCCAGTCAGGCTCCTCTCCCACTTATCCTGCATTCTCAGGAAAATGGCCCCCACAGTTTTTATCCTTATTTTTCACCTGAAAAATGCCTCCTATACTCTGTAGCTGAAAAGGGCCTATCATTCTCTCTCAACTACTGACTGCCCCGTTTCTGTCAACCCATCTATCTTTCAAAATATTTAGCAAAATGCTATGTTTATTTTACACGACAGGAGTAGATATGCTAGCTCTAAAATATTTAGCTGAAAATAAAACTAAAGAAAAATAATTATTTCTTAAGCATCCAGAAAGCCTTTACTCTAGGTCAGGGAAGCACCAACCTGGGGAGCAGGCATGATTAGCACCTGTATTTAAAGTCTGGAGATGCTCAGGCCTGAAGAAGTCAACAGCATGGCACAAAATCTACAAAAGCACTGAGCTGGCATTTGAGCCTGTGTCTTGGTCTTCCAATCCAGTACTTTGCCTACTACACCTGTGTGCTCTCTGTTGTCTGTCCCCCGTGAGCCCTCCTGGTACGGTGCTGAGGCCTAAAACTGGATCTAAAACCCAGTGATTTTTATTTGCCTGATTTCAATCTAACATGCAAGAGCAGGCCCGCGCAGATGCCTCCCCACACCTGCTAGTTCTGCCCCTCTGCAGGATTTTAAGGCAGGGTTAATCTGGATTAAGTCAGCTCAAGAAAACCAAGGTTGGGTTGGTGGCAACATTCTGTCTCTGCTCCACCTCCTCCTCGCCACCTCCCCCCCAACCTCCCAATTCCAGTCTTCATCCCATCCTCCCCCCCAGTTGTCTTTCCTTTGCCCTTTTCCTAATTTCTGGCCTCCATCCTTCTACCTTCCAAAGTACCAGGGCCTAGATGTGTGGCCTTCCAAACAGACTTGGGTCTGTCTTTCACTGCCTAGGGGAGGGAACAGTGACTAGCACCATGGTGAAGCTAAAAATCTCTGGTCCTCCTGTCTTCCCAACCCAGGCCAATCCTGGGGCAGGGACAGAAGCTGGGGAGGGTGAGCATGGATCCTACCGCCTTCGTGTCATCAAGGCCCTGGTACAACGCTATATAGACACTGCCCAGAGGGAATTCGAGGAGACCCGTCGGAAAGGTTGGTTGCTCACCTCCAAGCTTTCCCCATTTGTTTCTTGCTCAGCTAGGATAAATGCACAACATACAGATTCACAGCCCTCTTCCAACCTAGTTATATGTGGCCTACCCTACCTTGCCCTTGGAGCCACAACTTGCACAATGTGGTCCCTTGCACTCAGCTACTCTCTGACCCATTTGTCTGTTCCACTCACTTCATCCTCCCATTTCTGCCTTCATTCACATGCTCATTTATTCTCTCTTACCCATTCATTCATTCATGCACTTCATTCATTCTTTTACTTATTCATTCATTCAACCAACTGTCATTGCTGTGTCTTCTTTGTTCCAGACAAGGGAGGTAAGAGGGACTGTGTAGAGCAAGGACTCACAAAAGCTTTGAGTCTGGTGTGGAAGAGAAAACTACTGACTAGGCAGAAAGTCCTTAGCTAAAAGAAACACAAATTGCAGTGAGAGCCAGAGGAGAGAACGCCTATCATTTCGAGAGGCTCATGGGGAGGTAGAAGGATGGAGTTCCAGAAGCTACAAACAAAGTGAACTGAACCCTGAGGATGGCTATGAGCTGGATGGGTATAGATGGGAAAGAGGGTTGGCAGTGGGAGATGTATAAATCTCCACCCACTGCAAACCTTCCCATCCCTAGGGATTCAGATGCCTTCTATTCTCACCACCATCTGAGCCCACTCAGACTCATCTGTCCCAGACTCTGCCCCCCCAGTCCATAAACCAGTCTCTCACTTCCTCCACTTCTCTTCCCTTAGGAGTCCCAGACATGTTATCACCTGGGGTTCTCTGAGGATAGAAGTGGTACAGGGCAGGCCCATCATGTGAAAGACTGCTCCATTAACACTCTCCCCCACTTCCCAGATCTGGGCAACAGACTGACAGAGCTGACTAAGACTGTGTCTCGACTGCAAAGTGAGGTAGCCGGCGTAAGGCGAACTCTGGAAGAAGGAGGACCACCCCGGCCACCCCATGGTGCCAGCATTCTCAGCCGCTACATCACCAGAGTACGAAACAGCTTTCAAAACCTGGGGCCCCCCATCCCTGAGACCCCAGAGCTGACAGTGCCAGAGAGTGTGGGGACCCAGGAATCTTTAGAAACTGGGCTTCAGGGTGCTGGAGATGCTACAACTGCATCTTCTGGAGAGTCTGGCCCTTCTTCCTCAGCACCTGTGCTAGTACATAGGGAGCAAGAATCAGAGGGAGCTGGAGCCCTGCCTCAGGAGGAAAATTTGGGAGCCAAGGGGGTGTCCTGATGCAGTGGGCAGTTTCCTTTTGTTGGTGAGTGAATCAGCCTAGATGGGAAGGGAGTCACTTAGTAGGTGCCTATGCTGCTTTCCTTGCCTCAATAAAGTTTTGTTCTGGATGTCAGATGTTTCCAGAGTGTGTGAAAATCTGTCTCGTGATGCTTTGCAATCCCCTCCTCTGAAATGGACTCTTACGGGAGCAGGGCAGAAAAAAGTAGCTTGTTTGGGGGTCCCATGTATCTTGAATTTAAGATCCTGCTCTGAGTACCCTCAAAGCTTTAGTGTGTTCTCAAATATTTCATAAGTTTGGAACTGGGAGGCATGGGGCCTAGTTTTGATACTAACTCTTTGACCTCGAACAAATGGTCTCCTTGCTTGACTTTGTAAAATTCCTCATCTGAAGAAGTGACAAAGAATCTGTCCCCCTTCCTGCATTCCTACTGTGGCTCCTCTGGCTGTTAAAACTTCTGGTGTGGACAAGGGTCTGTATAGGGAAGTATGTCGAAGAGTGATGAAAAAGTCCCATATAGGCAGAGCAAGACAGTGATCCAGTCTCATGGAATCAACCAATGATGAAATTCAGTGTCACCACACTGCAATACTGTTTAATCAAGTGGCCATCACAGTACTGCCCTTGCTTGTCCCAGGGAGTCCCCACCACATACTGGGACTCCCTCCGTCCTACAAGGCCTTATATCCCACCACCCCCCACATTCTAGTTGGGGAGACTACTGATAGGGCTGGGCCTGAAACCACATTCTTGTTCCCAAGACTGTAGGAAGCCCCCCTTCTTCATAGGAAGGTCACCAGTTCCCAGGACTTCTAAGTGGCAGGCACTGAACTTTCAGAGCCCAGCTCCTGAGAGCTGGAACTCCCCAGGGGTCAAAAGCAGGGTCTTCCAGGATTGCAGAGAGAAGGCCCTGTTGGAGGGTGAGTCTGGCTGCCCACCTTCTGGAGAAAGAAGAAAAGAAAGTGAAGGCCAGCAGGCACAGGAGGGTATTCAAAGCAGCCGAGGGAGGGGGGAAAGAGGGTGACTCACTTGGAAAAGATGCACAGCCCAGCCTCTTCTCCCCTGCAACAGACAGTACCACAGTGAGGGCTCCACATAGACAGACCCTCATACCCAAACTTCCTTCCCACCAGGCTCTGGCATGGACCATTCCACTTCAGTTCATATTCCCTTTATGACTCTCCTTTCCCCTTCCCTCCTCCAGAAAACCTTCCTAGGTAATCCATCCCTCTATGCCCCCACCCACTCTTTCATTGCGTCCCTTTCTCAGCACTTGGGAACGGCACAGTGTGCCAGTGAGCCCCATTAAACCTGGGACCTTGAGATTTGAAGCAGCACTCCTCTATCACTTTTCTCTGCTTGTTACCCTCAACCATGTTGTTTCCATCTACCAGGCTCAGTAACAGATGGAACCTTTCAAGAACATTTACAGAATCATCTAAGACTAGTCAAAGATCTGGAAAACACATATAGGACCTTCTAAGAGTTGGAGGTATATAAGTTGTAAAAAACAATACCTTCAGCTGACTTCTAGCCCTTAGTGTCCCCATTAACTAAGTGGTCTCCTAAAGCTCCTGGGGATTGAGCTCTCCTGGCTTCTTACACCCACCATGCCCATCCTGCTTCCCTCATGCACAGCTCACCACCCAGATAGGCGCAGTTAAAGTGGCTGCAGGTCTGATTATAGCTCCAAAGAGACACTAGGCTCTGGGCTCCATCCTGGGAGAACCTGGTGACCAAGAAGACTTCATGGGGGGGAATCAGCACCTCACGCTCCTCAGGAAAGACAGACAGGGACTGGATACGGGCCCCAAAGCAAGTTCTTATAGAGAAAAGGGTGGCATTACCAAATCTGCGGGCAACCCCCTCATCCAGGGAGCTGGAGGTAAACTGGCCCAAGCGGACAGAGTCCCCTAGCCTCCTAGGTTCAAAGCGCAGGGTACCCACACCTCGAAACACCACATCCTCAGATCCCCTCTTACAACCCCCACTCCCCCGCAACAACTGGAGGGCCCGGGTCAGGTAGAAATGCAGGGCCTTGAAGGGGAAGTGCCTCATGTAGAGCTCCCAGGAGCCACCGCCTGTCCGCACCGCCTGGTTCAGCTCCCAGTACAAGGTGTTAGATGAATTGGTGTAGACCATGACGGCGATTCCGTGCTGGGCTTTGAAGCCAGGGGGCAGGGTCAGCCCTTGACACCTATGCTCCCAGGCTTCCTGGGCTGCCTCCCAGGATTCCCGGAGCAGAGCATGGCGGGCCATCTCCTCCTTTAGCAGAGGGACTGCCTTCTCCTCCATCTCCTCTGAGCAGCCCACATAAGCATCATCAAAGGTGTCTGGAGCCAGGCCCAGGGGCAAGATGGGAACAGCCTGGGCCTATGGAAGTAAAAAAGAGAGAAGCCGCCAGGAAAAAATGTTGAAGTTCACCAGACAGGGCTCTGGTGGCAGATCAGAAACACAGAATTTCATTTCTATGCCTAAATATCTGGCAATTCAATTTGGCAAGAGCCCAAAGGCAGGCACTAGATTCACACATCATGGGTTCAAATCCTGGCTTCACAGCTACCATCTGTGGAATCAGACAAGACTCTTAACTTTTCTGGGCTACCTCAACCTCACAGGGTCATTGTGAGGAAAGCATAGGGCGCTTCAATTCCTAAACCTAAAAGCAGTCATTCTGACATTAGAGAGCTCCCAGCATTTGGTGGGGAAAAAGGGCAAGTTGACTTGCAAGTGCTTTTCTGGCTCTAAGACCAGTTTGCTGGTGATGTACAAATGTATAAACAATTACCTGACTCCATCTTCAGACTCGTTCCCTCTCAGCCACCACACCAAATCATTGTCAGTTCTAAGACTCCTGAGTCCTCTCCCCTCTTTAGAAGCCCATATCCCCAAACCTGGGCTGGGGAATGGGGAAGACTGGTCTGGGAGGGGCTACAAGAGGACAGTATACAAGGAGAGGAGTTTGGGATGGGCTGTGAGAAGGAGAAAGATGGAGGCAGTCCCTAGGGAAGGAAGATGGTGAGTGGGGGTTCTGGGAGAGGAAATAGGAATCTGGATGTTTCTACAGGACTGGAGGTTCCCAAGAGGGAGAAGATTTTAAAAACTGAGCTCCTAGAGAGAGATTTTTGAGGAGTCTCTCCCCACTCCACCTCCCAGGTCTGTACCCCAAGTGTTCCTGGCAAGGGATGGGTCTCCCTGTTACCTGCCAGAAGTTCTGGAAAACAATGCAGCTGAGGGCGATGAGCAAAACCAGCACCATCCCTGGGAGTGACTTAAGAGGACGAGGTCCAGATGCGGATGGGACCAGCCGTGTTGGGCACTCTTTGGCTTCAGGGGTCCGGAGGGTGACGACCCAGCCACTCCTCAGTGATGGGAAGGGTCCCGGGTCCGGGACCTGCCGCAGGCGGGGCGTGGGCGGGGCCGGAGGCTGCGGAGTAGGGGAGTGGACAGGGTTGGCCACTGCCCCAGGTCTCGGTTTCCAGGTTCCCCGAGGCCCCTGAGCTCAGCGTTTTCTGTCGGGGGAATGTTTCTGTGATGGTGGTGAAGGCAGAGCCGTCATCCGGCTCCTCAGAGAGGCGTGAGAGGGCGTCAGGACCCACCTGGAGGTTGTGGAGTCCGAGAGCTGGAAGGGGCGCGGAAGGCTCGGACCTGCGGGGGGCTGACGTCTGGCCGCGCTGCTCAGTGCTGTCCCCGGAGTCCAACCGATAAACAAAGTCCGGGTAGCTAACTATAGCCCCCGCGGCCGTAACCCGACACCTTTCTTCCCAGACTACAGACGCAGGGCCGGCGCTGGGGCGGGAGCGCGGGGGAAGGGGCTGAGGGGCGTAGCTTCTCCCCCTAGGACTGCAACTTCTTTCTCCAGGACCTTCTGTGTCTCCAAGCAAGATGAGGGTTGTGCGAGGGAGCTGGTGGGACTCGACCTGTCCCTTAAGTGGGCCCACACCCCGCCTCTCCCGGACAACCAGACCGTTAGGACCCGGAGTCCCTCTGGGGTCTCTCTTCCCGGAAGTCACCATCAGTATACTCGCTCATTTGCATTCAATTTGCATATGACCACCCGTAGGGTCGCTCGCGGTCCAGCCATCTGAGGCAACCATCCTTCTCCTTTCTCTTCACCCTCTCATCCCTGTCAGGGTTGGACCAGTTGTTTATTTAGTGGCCTTAGATCCTTTGGGTTGAATCCCCCAGCCCCCCAGATCCTCTCTGGACTGTTTAGACTAAGGTGACCCAATGTTTATAAACACTTGCCTTTTGTAGGCTTGTCTATAAATAACCTGGCTGTGAGTTTTGGATGTCTAATCAGAGGTAATGGGAGAAGGGGCTGGCTAAAGAATCTGAAAGCAGCTGTGGGGAGAGTTTTCAGACTGGCTGAACCTCTGGGGGTGGGAGAGTTGTTGCCTCATAGTGGTCAGAGGAGTTGGGGGTCCCAAATGTGAGGGTTTGAGATTTTGCTTGTTGGAACTGAGCTGAGCGTGGAAGGTTACTCCAAGGTCTCCATCCTGCTCTGGCTCATTGATTTAGTCCCACCCCTGTACCCCACCCCTTCAGCTTGCCATCCAAATAAATAATTGCCTTCACCTAAAATCCTGCTTTCTCTAAAATTTCTTCCTGTAGACCAAAACAGAAGACAGGATGTGCATCTGGGCTTGGGGGAAGAGTGGGGAGGGCACTAAAAAGATTGGTTTCCCTAAAACCCAGAATACCTATCAGTTTCAAGACAAGTTCTTGTGGCCTCTTTCAATGAGACTGATCATCGAAGAATCTGATTAGAAAATGAGTAGTCGGGCCCTCCCTGGTGGTGCAGCAGGTTAGGATGCAGCCCTACAAGCTGGCCACAGCCACTTCAGTGCCATTTGGATCCAGGCCCGGAGGTGATTCACATGGCTCGGCAGGCCTTTCCTGCCCGCTGCTCCCCTCTGCAGTGTACTTCATTGATCTGCCTGTTCTGCACCCTACTCTGTCTCTGGTGAATCCTCTTACTGTCCCTGTACCTCTGGCCTGTACCCCAGTTCTGTATGCACAAATAAATAAAAATCTCTAAAAAAAAAAAAAAGAGAGAGAGAGAGAGAGAAATAGAGTAAATGAGTAAATGTGGAGTCATCCATTGCTTGCCATTATTGTGAAAAGCAACAGGTAGCATCCTGCCTCTCCCTGGAAATATGTGAGAATTTACAGTTTCTGGGACAGAAGATATGTTCTGGGACACCTAGGCCTCAGGAACAGTCCCCAAGACCATAAATTTGTCCTCTGTGGTCTGAACCTCATCAATTTGCTGTATGATCTTTCTCTTCATCAGGGGCTCTGTTCAATGACACACACCTAAGGTGAATCTCCATGCTCATATTTAAAAAAAAAAAAAAAGTGAGGAGAAACTCTCTGAGGCCAGGGGTTCTGAGTTGCAGGATCATATCCAGTAGGGAGGCAGTATTCCAGTCTGGATCCTCCATGCCTCACCTCCACCTTCTCTGCTTCAGGAAGTCCCTCTTATATAGGGGGGCACTGACCTAGGGCAGACTGGTCAAAAGCTAGTGTTTCTGATCTTAAGGAGACATCCAGAAATAGCTGTGGGAGTGTCACATTTCTGAGCAGCTGCATGGGAGAAGTCCAATGGAGGAAGGGGGTGGCTAGAGGGGGGTTGACCATATAAAGGAGAAGTGTGCCCTCTCCCTCCCCAGTGGCCCTCGCAGGAAACCAACACCAGCATCCCCACTCTGGAGAAGACCTAGGTAAGGGACACACCATCTGGGTGCCAGTCAGGGAGAGAAGCTTTGATTATTTTTTGTTTAAGGAAATTTTGGGTGGTTGTGGTGGAGTTTAGGAATCATTAAGAAAAGTTTCAGGAACCTCTTATCTTAGTCCTTATAGGCTGCTATAACAAAATACCCAGATTGGTTAACTTATTAACAACAAACATTTATTTCTCACAGTTCTGGAGCTTGGAAGTTCAAGGTCAGGGTGCCAGCATAATCGGGTGGGGATTCCCTTCCTAGTTTGTAGCTAGTACTTTCTCCTGTGTCTTCACATGGTGGAGGGAGTTAAGGAGCCCTATGGGGCTCCACCCAAATGAACTAATCATATCCCATGCCCCCCCATTCTAACATCACATTGGGCATTCAGATTTCAACATGTGAGTTGGGGTGGGAAGGACAACCCACTTAGATCACAACACCTCTAATAGAGAGCTTGGGATACTTAAGGAGGTTTGGGGCCACTGGGAAAATTGGGGATTTCTGGATCACATTTCCAGAAGGTAATGTTCAGTGAGGGCCTAGCGAAGGAGAAACTGACAAGAGAAATGTCCTGAGCAGGATGAAAGAAAGGACAGAGAAGGGAAGATCCCTGAGGTTATGAAAAGGGGCTGCCCAGTTGCCTCCACTTTTTCAACTACCACACCCTCCTGTCACTCTGCTTTGGTTCCCCATTTACCCCAATACTGGTCACCAGAGTCATCAAGCCTGTGCTTACAATGATCTACATTGTTACCTGCACCTGGAAAGTCCCTCAGATTCTCAGCAAACATTTCAGGAAGCCTCACCTCCTGACCTTATGCTGCCCTCTGGAAACATAGGACAATGGTTCCCACCTTCAACTAACCCCAGGCCAGGAGGGAAGACAGACATCTAAGGGCAGCACAGTGTAATTAGAACAGTGACAGAGGAGAGTGCAGGGTAGGAGCCCAGAGGACTTCCTGGAGGAAGTAGCCTCTGAGCTAAGCCTTACGGAGTAGGTAGCAGACAGCAAAGTGTGCAAAACCACACAGAGGGAAGACGCCCAAGGGAGTCTGGAACTTTATTCCGACTATAGCTGAATAAGGTGGGGCATAAGGTGAAAGAGGTCATGGAGGGCTAGGCCACAGAGCAGGTTGACCTCTGATCTGAGGGTTTGGAGAGAAGTTCTATTTTGTTATATTTTCACTTTCCCCCCTTAATTTGTTTTTTTATCTCTTCCTTCATAATTTTCACTCTGCATTTTCATTCTGTACTTTGAGATATTTCTCCAGTCAGTTTGGCACAGAGGGATTGTAAGTTGGTAAGGAATTTAGCATTAGAAACATTAATTTCCCTACTCCAAAGAGAGTTGGCAGGGATGACAGTGGAGGCAGAAACCAGTGAGACCAGGGGCAAACCTGATCCATGACAAGGAAGGAAGGTGGGGTGAAGGAGAGGGAAGGTGCATCTAGAATAGAGCCACATTAGTTGGCATCTAACAGTGTTTGATGAGTGATTGAATGAATGGACCCCCAAGGGGGGGGTCATTCTGGGTATCTGGGTGAATAATGAGGATGGTATATTAGATGAGATTCTTCTGATGGTAAGTTTATAGGAAACTCTTGCTAGGTCAAGCCTAAAGAGGAACTTAGTGTTACCAAACGCCGGTCTCAGTTTTCCTCAGCCAATGCAAGGAAACAGAGTTTGTGGAAAAGGAAAGTGGTCTTATTTGTCGACAAATGAGGAGGGCAGCAGACTCATGTCCGAAAGCCCACCGTCCCGCTCTTTGGCAGGTTACAGGGCTATTTGTACAGTGTTCAACAAAGAAAAGGGGAGGTGGGCGAGTGTCCACAAAGGGGAGGGAGTAAAAGTTAGTGCTGGGATGGAGACCTGTGGGCACCAGCTTTTATTTACACAAAGACAAACAAAAATGGGGAATCAGCAAGAGAATAATGGGAAGGGGGCAGGGGGCAGCACAGGGAGGAAGAGGAGTCCGTGGGGGAGAACTTTCTCACTATTTGCTTTTGTTTGGGATTTCCTTTCCTTGACCCTCAATCTGTGAAAAGAAGAGAAACTGCAAGGAAAGGAGAGAAAAAAGTAAACCCATAGACAATTAAGAGGTCTGGGAAAACCAGTTTCATCATAAATTTGTCAAAGGAGGCAAATCTGCAAGTGCTTATCTGGGAGCCCATGTACTGTATCATTAGCACAAATATATTAGCGTATCTGAGGAGATGCAAGGGCCAGAAGTGGAAAGCCTTTAAAAACCCAGGAAGATGTTCAGTTCACCTGTGCTTTGGCTTCATTCGTTAAGCATCTCACTCTGCTTCTTGGCCTTTGCATCTTTCTCTGGGGATCCCAGATTTCCCTCCCCCCTCCCTCTACAGTACATCCATGGCTCTAAAATGTCTCATCTTATTGTCTATTCTGTTTCCTCTCAGACATATGATGCTCCTGGAAAGTCTATATATGCCAAACTACACAGATCACCTCCCCTCCAAATCTGATCATACATTCAATATGTGTGTGTGTGTGTGTGTGTACTCTATGATCCAGAGGAGTGCTTAAAGTTACTCTGATCTGTGTATCTACAGATACACAGACCTGAGTCTCATCCTTGATTTTTCCCTCTTTCATCCCCTAGATCCCATCCATCTAGTAAATTCTAACTCAGGGTCCATCCTCACTGCTATGTCCTTACTCAGCCCAAGTGATTCATTGTCCTCAGTCTGATTTCACAGTTCTCCTTCCTTACCCCAAGTCTCTGGTTCACTTTTACTATTTTGTCCCTGCAGAGCAGAAATGGGACAGAAACAGGACAGTGGAGAGTTTTCACTGTATGACCATTTTGCTGTGTAGCAGGAGCTCTTAGAGGCATGTAAGTATTTATTCTCATGCTGATGAGTCTTCAGTTTGACAGCAGATTGGTTCATCATCTGGGTTTGGCTGGGCAGCTCTGCTTTAGGCTGCCACTCTGGCTCAGCTGGTCTTGCTACAAGCTGGGCTCAGGTCTGCTCTCATGCTCATTCTGGGTTCCAAGTTGAAGGAACAGTTCTGGGCCATTTTTGTATGGCTGATGATCAAAGGAAAAGACCCTCTGTTTTGTTTTGATTTCCCCAAAAGCAAACCCAGAGACAAGGGTGTAGTGACCTTCTTTGTAAGATGATCCCAGGATGTACTAGTAAGGAGTAAGTGGCAAAGTGAAACCAAAGGAGAAAAGCAAATAAAAGTGAGTTAATGAGGTGCCCCCTGGTGGGGAAGCTATCTGCAGCCACTGCCACTTGGCCTGGCAGACTTCTCCTGACCTGCCTGCTGCTACCCTCAGCAGTCTATTTCAGTAGATTTGCCTATTCTGTTCCCCGAGATCTACCTGTTGTGCTCCCTGCTCTGTCTCTGGTGAATCCACTCACCCCTGGTTCCCCTGGCCTGTACCCCAGTTCTTATATCCATAAATAAACAAAGCTTTTTAAAAAAGTGTGTTAATGAGCACACTGACCACTCAGACAACTAATCTTAGTCCCATCATGGACCCTCTGATGTCCGTCCATCATTGGTTGTCCCTGCACTTTGGTCTACCCTTAGCAAGCTCCTGGGGTGATGGAAAAAGCCTCAGACAGAAATGTGACCAGTAGAGGTGGGGATCTTAGCACCATTGCACCTATATGTGAACATGAAGATGGGGCTGAGGGAGTACTGGCTGGGGAACCAACAGCGTCTAGCACACTCCCTTTTACTGAGTGTCAGTAGAGGCGCAAAAAGTAGGAAACACCCCGCCTGCACACATGGATGGCATTCTTCACAAGGAAGAGAGGATCTATTTAAGAAGCTCAGGCTTCTTGGATGGGTGCCACATACATTGCTTATTAGCATTCCATTCTGGAATTGGGGAGCGGTATCTCCTTTGTTCCCTTTTGTGATAATTCTTCCAATTTGATATACCCTGTACCTTTTCAGGTTAGTGCTGCAGGTAAACCCCATTCTTGATACATATTTATTTCAGTTAGGCAATTTAGGTGCCTTTTTTTTTGGGTGGGTGCCTTTTGTAATATGCTACTTGAAATCACATACTACATAGGATAGGCACACGATGAGGGCCACCACAGTTGTGGAGAAGGTTTGCAAGGCAAACTGTTCTTGTGTCAGTTATTGAAAGCATACAAGCCAGTAAAAACTGATCATGTGACAATGGAATGAGGAATAAGGTCTGGGGGTAGGGGAACAAAGTTTTAAGGGGAACAAAGGGAACATGGTGACCATATGTCAAGACACATTTTCATCAGCAAAGTATTTGATGTTATCCCAAGCAGAATTAGCCTGAGACCCGCATAGAGGTAGCCATGTAATCAGGTCAGTGGGGCCCTAGGCATTTCCAGGCATGCCTCATGATACCGGCTAGCTCTGCTATGACTTGCAGATAGCAGTAGTAGGTCACAGCCTGGCCTCGAGTGGTTAGCTCATAGCCATGTCTTTGGGAACCCACAACTCCAACTTTACCCCCATTTCAAAAGAGCTTAAAGAAGAAGAGATGTGGGTTTTATTGTAGTAGCTGCTATTGATTGTTGTATCCTCAGTACCCGACACATTACAGCTGCTGAAGATTTTTTGTTGTTGTTGACTAAATGAGTAAGCATGTTTTGAGGGAGAGAAGAAAACAAGTGACTTCAAAACAATTTTTTAAAAGATTTATTTATCTATGCATACAGAAACTGGGGTACAGGCCAGAGGTGTGGGGGGGGGTGAGAGGATTAACCAGAGACAGTGGGGAGCAGATCAGGCAGATTGACAAAGTATGCTGCTGAGGGGAGCAGTGGATGGGTCAGGAGAGGTCTGCCACACCATGTGGGTCATCTCCCTGGCAGGAGATCCAGCTCATGCTCAAGAGGCTGCCAATCGCTTCTTAGTGCTGCGCTTTAACCCGTTTGCGCAATCAGGGAGGGCCCAAGAGTTCACTTTGGAACATGTATTTGATAAAAACTACTGTTAACCCTGTTAACTACTATTGCACATCTCAATTTAAATGGTCTATTGGCAACACAAGCATCTAAGATTTAGACTTATAAAATCAGAGACTCATAAATATCAGAATCTTAGAGTCAGTACACTAGGAAAACTTATCCTCCCGTCACTTTCCCAAGAACCAGAGGGTTTTAGGAGCAGGGATGCTAACCTTAGTGAAATGGGGAGGTGGGGAACACAGGCAGAGTTACCTGAAGTATATGACTTGTTTTGTGTAGGTGCATATATCTGTTTACTGAGTAGAGTTTCAGCTTTTATCAAATTCTCAAAGATAAAGGCCCACTGGCTATATTACCATTTGTATAGAAAAAAGGAAAACAGAAGTAACTGAACTGGCTTGTATGTGTTGCAGTATCTCTAAAAGGATACACAGAAAATGGGACAATTGGTTGTCCCTGGGGAGGTTGGCCATGGGGAATGACTGAGAGAAAGACACTTACTTCACTGTATGCCTTTTAGACTAATTAAATTTTGAACAATGAATATAGATTACCCTTTATAAAATTTAAATTTTATAATATTGGGTCTTCCTGGTGGTGCAGGAGTTAAAATTTCAGTGCTATCAAGCTGTCGCCAGCCATAGCAGCATGAGTTTAAGTTCAGATCCCCAGCTAGGGAGTTAAACCACATGGCACAGCAGACCTCTTCTGTCTCACCTGCTGCTCCCCTCAGCAGGATATTTCAGTACATCTGCCTGTTCTAGTCCCCACTCTGTCTCTGTAAATCCTCTTACCACCCCCACTCTGGCCTACAACCCAGTTCTTTGCATAAATAAATAAATAAATCTTGAAAAAATTTGCCTGTCCAAATTAAAAATACACTTATCCTTTAGATATTATCTCATATTTTGATAGTTTTCCTATAAAAGCATACAGGCAAGGACTTATATACCTGGATATCTACTGGAATATTCTATGTAATATATTAAAAAAAAAACCTACATATCCATTAATGGTTTAATAAAATATTGTTTAAATATAGTATAAATACCTGCTGTCCTTACAATGAACAAGATAGATTTGTACATACAACATGGAAGGAAATCTATGGTATTTTGGGGAAAAAGTTTTGTGTGCAAGCATTTAAAAGATAATAATAATTAAAAAAAAACAGACTGTGTACAGAAAACTATATGTATATATACACTGAAATATTGCATTATATTCAAAGAAGTCCTGAGAGGGCCTCCCCGGTGGTGCAGGGGTCAAAATCTCAACACTATCGAGCTACCACCAGGTGCTGTGCCTGTCCCCTCCCAGCCTCCTTGTCTTGCTGCTCAGCAGTATATTTCAGTAGATCTGCCTGTTCAATTCCCCACTCTGTCTTTCACCTCCTACATCTCAGCCTACGCCCCAGTTCTTGTATACATAAACTAAAAAAAAAAATGTCCTGGAGGATACGGAAGACTTGAGTGGTGAGAGCAGGAATATGTCGAAGGAAAGAAAGAAGAAAGGGCATTTGGTTTTCTAAGGCAATCATACACTTTTCATAACAAGTATGCGTTACTTTGTAATAAGCTGGAGGGTAAACACAGAAAGGAAGCAGAAGCACTGACTTAGAAACTATTCCAATCTTGACCCAAAGCTGGGAAGTCTTCTTGGACTCACTCATGGCCTTCAACATGCCCACACAGTACAGGAACTTGTGGTTTCTCCCACTTCCCTTCAGAAGTAGGTACCCTTGGTGTCTCTCCCTCCCTCTTTACTTTTCCCTCACCACCAGGGGGTCTATAGCTGTCCATGGCCATGAGGCAGTTGAGGGCTGAGGAGAAGAAGACTGAGCAATGTACCAGGACTGCAGGGAAAGAGGGGAAACGCTGCAGCCCCAAGGCCTGCTCTAAGCCTACTCCTGGAGTCCTGTGAACCCACCAAGTAACCCATGAGGTTAAGCCCAGACCTCCACCATGGCAGTGAAGGTCCTTCACAATTAGTCCAGTTTTGTCAATATTCCCTTGTGCAAACGTGGCTCACTAGACATGATATCTTCTACTCTTCACATCTTGAGATTGCTTCCCTTTCCTTTCCTGCTGCCCAAACTTCTTTCTCAATTCAACCTCAGTCTTTTCTTTCCCTGTCTCTACAGGTTGCAGCCTTGTTCTCCTACTCATTCTATTTACATGTTCAGGAACTCTCCCATGTTCCTTCTAGCAAAAGGGGTTCTTTCTGTATGCACCTCTATTTTCCATGTTGTGACAATATGTCAAGCACTGGGAATGGCACAGACTAGGTGTCAATTGATATTTATTGAGCTGTATAGATTTAATATTCCTATTTTCCAGATGAGGAAACTGAGACCCAAAGAGAAACAGTAACTTGCCCAGGGTCACTTCCAACATGCTGACTCCTGCCATGATATTTCTGTTGCTTGTATCTGTGGGCCTCATGGAAGCACTACAGGTATGGTCATCCTCCACTCTCCCCATGCTAGCAGGGAGCTAAGCTGTTGGCTTGTGAACAATGGAAAGATGAAACAGAGGGAGAGGAGAATGCTTGGCATTTTCCTTGGGGACCATGCAACCTGAGGTGATAGCTCCAGACACTAGTCCTGGGAGTTTGCTGCTACCAGTTCCCAAACCCCTTTCCCTCTAGGTATTTTGGATCCCTTAGTATCTTTCCATGTTGTGCCAATATGTCAAGCACTGGAAATGGCACAGACTAGGTGTCAATTGATATTTATTAAACTGTACAGATTAACATTCCCTAGTGGAGGGGAAAGCTGCATGATAAGCCCCTATTAACCCAGGGCCCATCCTCTCAGCCCTAGCATCTTCCCTTTCCCTCAGGTCCAGGGTCACTTCATCACTGGAAGAGAACTTTTCTCTCAAGAAATGCCCCTGGACATGGCCCCAGCCTCCTTTGATGACCAGTACGCCGGCTGTGCAGAGGCCATGATAGCTGCTCTCCCGGATCTCAACCTCACAGAGTTCCAGACCAACAAAGTGTATGCAGACGGCTGGGCAGTGGCTAGCAGTCAGTGGCAGGAGCGCCAGGCCTGGGGGTCACAGTGGGGCTTCAGCCCTACCCGCCCACCCCCACGACCCTTCGGCTTTCGCGATGAGCATGGGGTGGCTCTCCTGGCCTACACAGCCAACAGCCCCCTGCACAAGGAGTTCAATGCAGCTGTGCGAGAGGCGGGCCGCTCCCGGGCTCACTACCTCAACCATTTCCCCTTCAAGACACTCCATTTCCTGCTGACCGAGGCCCTGCAAGTACTAGGCAGAAGCCAGCGTCTGCCCCGGTGCCACCAAGTGTTCCGAGGGGTGAACGGTCTGCGCTTCCGGCCAGCGGGGCCTGGGGCCACCGTCAGACTGGGGGGCTTTGCCTCTGCATCCCTGCGGAACGTTGCCGCACAGCATTTTGGTGAGGACACTTTCTTTGGCATCTGGACCTGCCTTGGGGCCCCTATCAAGGGCTACTCCTTCTTCCCCAGTGAGGAGGAAGTACTGATCCCCCCCTTCGAGACCTTCCAGGTGATCAATGCCAGCAGACCTGTCCAGGGCCCTGCCCGCATCTACCTCCGGGCCATGGGCAAGCGCAGTACCTACAACTGTGAATACATCAAAGGTGAGCAGGGTGTGCCAGGCAGCAGCACCTCTGTGGATGGTGGACTCCCCAGACTGTTTCCAGAGGATACTTACTTAGCTATTAAGAAACAAGCAAGCAGGGTCCCTCCTAGTGGTGCAGTGGGTTAAAGTGCAGTACTGTGATGCTATCTGCAGCCACTACGTTGGTTCAATCCCAACCAGGGAGCTGACCCACATGGCGTGGCAGACCTCTTGACCTGCCCACTGCTTCTCTCAGCCATGTATTTCACTAGATTGCCTGTCCTGCTCCCCTCTCTCACCCCCTGTACCTCTGGCCCATACCCCAGTTTTTGTATGCATAAATAAACAAATCTTCAAAAAACAAAACAAGCAAGCAGTGAAGAGGATGCAGTCCTGTCCCTCTGCCCTTCATCCTCTCCATCTTAGGGGAGACAGTCTGAGGCAGCATGCTTCTTGTCCCAGGTGGTGTCTATGACAAAGTAGGTCACTTGTCTGGTGAGAGGCCAAAAAGGGATTCCTCACTGGGGCAGTCAACTTGTCCCCATTTTTTGATAGCTTTTCTATAAAAATATGAGACAAGGACTAACATACTTGAATGTCCACTGCAATATTATCTGTCATATAAAAATTAAGAAAGAAACCTACATGTCCATTAAGAAGGAAATGGTTGAATAAAATATGGTTTAACTGTATAATCAAATACCTGGTCAGTATTTTGACCTGGTCAGACTTTTTGTCCAACTGGAAGCTGAAATCAATTTCTAGCCACAGTACTGACAGAAATGATAAAAACCACAACCTCAGCTTCTGAGAGGAACATGTGTTTGATGGAACAGGAATCCTCTGCTACCAGGCATGTGGGCTGGGGGGCGGTGAAGCAGTAATTAGGTGGTGTGTCCCTACATTCCATGTCAGGCCAAGGCAGACCTTGGGAACTCTTCCCATCCTCCCTTGACTGACCAGAGGAGCAAGAGGACAGGTGTAGGTCCTTAATCCCATAAAGGGCTGTGGGCTGCTGGTTCTGACTTAGTGATTCCAGGGGCTCATGAGACCCATTTTCATAGTTAGAGGCATGTTGTTCATTGGAAGCATGGACCACTTCAAAATTGGGAGAAAGTTCGGTGTGGCTCTAGTTCTCGCCTCAGACAGCATCACGAGCAAGCATGAGTTGAGAGAAGTCGAGGAAGACCTACAAAGGACACCAAGAGTCCCCCGTGGCTGGGGCAAGGCATGGTGAGGGAGCAGTGGGTGAGTCAGGGGGCAAAGTCACAGGCTGACAGAGCAGGAGGAGTAACTCAGAACAGACCTTGGCTCTCAGGACTGGCTCACTGCTCACATTTCAGTCAAGCCTGGGTTAGGGAGGTCTTACTAGAAGGAAGCAGCACTGGGGAAGTGGGCTGGGTTTCCTAGAACAAGTCAGAGATGGGCCATCAAGCTCGAGGTCCTTTCTCATGTTGGCAGCCATTGAGCCTTGGACTCTACTTTTTCTTCCCTGCAGACAAGAGGTGCAAGTCTGGACCCTGCCAGTTGGATAACTCAGGTAAGGGCTGCTGGAATTGGTTGGGCTCAGATTGGGGATGGGCAAGCTGCCCTGGGTTGGGCTCCTTGCCTGGGTGTCCTCTTACAAGGACAACAACCCCCTTTAGTCAAAATAAGTCAACCCTCTTAGACTGTTCTGGGGGTCTAAGAGATGAGAGCTCGCTCACTTCTCCTGGGAGATGTCTATGTGTGGGGGAGATGTCTATGTGTGTGAGCTGACACCCCTGCCCCAGACTGCCTCAAAGAAAGATGCTGATCAGGCCTCATCTTGGTTCAGGTTGCATCCAGGAGACAGAGGGAAGGGCAAGGCCTATCAAACCCTCCCTCAGGCTTCTGTCAGCCACAGAATTGTCCCTCTTATTACCTTGAGGGCTGCTTTAGGCAGAGGCTAGGCCGGGAAGGCCAGAGACCTGGGTTCTGGCACAGGTTCTGCCCTAATTTCTCTGTGACCTCAGTTTCTATTATTGTGTCTAATAAGCATATTGGACTGGATGATTTCCAGTCCCTTTGAGCTGTGACTCTTCTCTTCCCTTGAACGTTGCTGCACCAGGGCTGCCTCTTGTATAGGTAGAATTGGTTTTTCCAGGGGACCCACCTTAATAGGCCAACCCCTGAGAAGAAACTGCAGCCACCCTTTTCGTGAGTACCTCAGCTCCCTCTGCTATTTTGTCTTCAACTTGTTTCTTCATGGAATTCACTTTGCCTCTGAATCCCCTTCTGCCTCTCTTTTCCCTGCAGCCATGGGTCAGGGTCCCCTTTCTACATCCTGGTTCCTTCTACTGCTGCTGTGGCACCTTATAGGAGAGGCCTTTCCAGGGTGTCTAGGCCTCCTCTGATCCATCAGATCGAACAGCCTGCCTGCTGCCTCTGCCCGGCATGAGGATGCCCATCGTGTGTGTTCTCACTGTAGCCCAGGACCATGCCAACTTCATCTGCAGGGAACTCTGGGTTTCTCTCTGGTAGCTGCCAGGCCTGCCAGTGGAGAAAGAGAAGAGCATATGGGAACTGAGCCTTAGCCAGGGCTCTGGGAGTGAGATGCTTAACAGAGGTGGGGAACTCCAGGGTCATATTGATTTGCAGATCACAGAGACTTAGACTAGTGTGTGTGTGTTTGTGCAGGTGGGGCAGAGGGGGCTGGTGACAAAAGTAGTGGCCAAGTACTTACTGGTGTTGCTTAAATGCCTCACATGTGCACTTAGAAAGCTCCTATTCCCTGCTCTGGGAGGCCTTCTCTAACCTCTCCCACCTGCTGGAGTGGGGCCTGCCACCTGCTCCCATGGACACTAGGTGCTTCTTTACCTCACATGTCCATGTTTTTGCCATATTAGACTATGCACTTCCTGAGTACTGACTGGATTGGAGGAACAGAGGTGGTGCTGGGAAACACGGGACAGTCAGAAAGAGACAAATGCAGTGTGAAGGGTCATCCCTGCACTGCCCCTGCCATGGATACATGCAAGCCCTCCAAATGGTACTGTGGGAATGAGGTGGACCTGACCTAACTCCAGAGGGTAGAGGGCAGATGAGATGGCAGAGGAGGCTTTAGGGACTCTGTAGAGTCTCCATAGAATCCCAGTCATTTTCTTGTCAGTGGAGATGTATTTGTGCTCTGATCCATGAGTCCTCTGGGGCTACTATCTCTAGGGAGACAAACCTGGATCTCCAGTTTCTACCACTATGGGCCCCAAGGTAAGACAGGACACCAAAGAGGTGCTAGTCACACACTTTATTGACTTGGGATTTGATTGAATTGAGGTCAAATTTCTGTGGAACTCTGGAAACTAGACTATGAGTCCCCTTCTCAGAGCGCTATACAAGTTCCAATAAAAGCAAGACCAAGTTCCTATAAAAGCAGCCCCTGAGGAAAGATGAGAAGATAGGAAATGCAGCATATCTCTCCTTACTGCAAGCTCTAACACTCAGCATCCAAGTTCAAGTCTACCTCCAGGACTTTGATCTTGCCCTTGTTAGACTGCTTTCCCTGTAAGGATTAGGGGAGTGGCAAGCTTTAGATTTTCTGTAAAGGTTAGGGGACAGAAACAGCAAGTATCCACTCGTGGGTTATGAATTTAGCAGTCAGCAAAGACCCTGAACAAAAGGTATCTCCAGCTCTTAGGTACAGTGTGGAGAAATGAGTGGCCTAGTTGAGGCACCTGACCTTTCCATCCCTGGCTGGAGGTGCTATGGCTACAGCAGACCCCTGGGACTCAAAGGGCCTGCACCAGCACCAGGAGGCTCATGACCAGAGCCATGGAGAAGAAGATGCCCAGGAAGAAACGGTCCATCACACGGGCCAGGCGCTTCCAGTCCTCATGGCGGCACTGTGCTGCCCGGTAGCTGTGGAAGGTGCTGGCAATGGTGGCTACATGATGGAGCAGAGCTTCCTGATGGCACAGACACTGAGGCTCATGGCAAGGGCCTGCTGGGGGGTCAGTCCCTGCCTCAGAAGGCTGGGGGCTGGGGGCTGACTCGTGTGGCCTAGACCACGTGCAGGGCTCCCCTCGTTCCCGTACACAGAGGCCTCGTGCCAGATATCCCAGCAGGAGGGCCCGAGCCCAGGCTGGCACTGGGCGGGCACTGGGACCACAGTAATGCAGGTTCATGATAAGAATGGTGAGTGCCGTGGAAAAGGTGACCATGGTCATGGTGGCCATGTAGTACTTCCCTGCAAGAGAAAGAGTGAGCTGGACTCAAAATAAGAACTCAGGGAGCCTAAACTTCCCAGCCACCTCAAAACAAACAGGAACAAACTCTCAGGAACCTGCAAGCCCAACAGATGGAGGCAGGAAGGAGGCCAAGGTCTCCAGTCCAGCATTCCTATGAGTGGGTTCTTAGCAACAGCTTGCTTCCTAACAGTTCCCCTCAGGGCTGGAGACTGACTCTTACACAACTGGTGTAAGAGTCATTACTCTCCATAAGCAGCACCTTGACCCGAGGCAAATTACTGATATTCTCAGTAGGACTGGGATAACACTAGAACCTACCTCATAGATTTGTGGTGATGCTTCCCTGAGTTAATAAATGGCAAATGTTCGGAGAGTGTCAGGCACATATTTAGTCCATTTTGCTTGTTATTACCATAGTGGGGATCCTCAAGTACTTCACAAAAGACCCAGACCCCTTTCTTCCTGTCCCACTGAAGAGGAAAGTCCTCCCTGGAAGGAACTCTCCTTTCCTCCCTCCTCAGAATGAGACATGATCGCTGTCACACTAAAGCGTGGTCCAGTCTGTTGACCCAGCTCCTAGACCTGGGTCTCTTGTTATCCGCACTTCTGCCCCTGAACAGAGAAGTGGGCAGGGAGGGACCAGGCTTCCCTGGCTCTGGAGCTAGCCAGCGTCTTCTGCTCACCTATGAGCGGCACGCTCTCTGCCGGTGGCATGCTCTCTGCCAGGAGCAGCTGGAAGACGGTGAGTGCCAGCAGCACGGTGACGCCCAGGGACACCTTCTCGCCTGAGTCGGCGGGCAGGTGGAAGGCGAGAGGTGCTAGCAGCGAGATGAGCACGCAAGGCAGCAGCAGGTTGCACACATAGGCTGCAGCGCGGCGACGCAGCAGCAACGTGAAGGTCACGTCCGGGTAGGGCTCGGAGCAGCAGCCGTAGGTGAGCACTCTACGCCGCGCGGGCATGCCCAGCACGCGCCACTCCACGTTCTCCACAAAGTCCGCCAGGCTGGCGGCTGCACCGCGCGTCCGCACGTCCAGCTGGAGCCCGCCATGTGTCCACGAGCCAAATGTCAGGCCACAGCGCTGTGCATCGAACGGGAAGGCTGACACATCCACGCGGCAGGAGCTGCGCGTGATGGCAGGCGCATCCCAGCGCACGGCGCCGTCATGCCGCAGGACCACGTTGGTGCTGGCTGAGGCCGGAGGCTGAGCGTCAGCTCTGTGGGAGGTGGATGGCTCCCTGAGGTGATCACAGTGGAGCCCTGGGGCCCCCGGAGACCAGGGCAGACCCCAGGGGCTCAGTGACTACAGGACCATAGGGGTTAGGGAGACACATGGAGGGGGGACAGAGAGGACCCTCTATGCCTTTGGTGCCTAGAAGGGGCTGCTCCTGAATGGACACAGATCTAGCCTAGGGCAGTGTAAAATGTCCTCTGCAAAAGTTGGTAGGGGCAGGCACAGAGACTCCCCTTAGGTGTCTTCTACAGAACTCTTAGAGGAACCAGGGGTTGAGTATGTGGAAAAGAAAACATAGAACTAGTGTAGGTGGCACAGAGGAATGCTCTAAAGGTGTAGACCCAGGAGGAAATCCCTCAGGAACCCGGAGAGACTCAGAAGCAGCCTGGAAGGGGGACAGGGAGTGGGGGTGGGAGGGTGGTGGGGGGGGGGGGGGTTAGGAGGATGCCATAAAGAGAAGCTTGTGTCCCAGAACTCACTTCCAGACATACCGAACTGGCCCAGGACCACATAATGGGTTCCCAGGAGACTGTCAGCCCAGTTTGCTTTGGGTCAGTCTAAACAGGGAATGCCATAAAGGGAATGTGAATTTAGAAGGGGGCAGGCAGAAAGTTTTCAGGGTAGCATAGCAATCAGATTTGATCAGTGGGATGGGAGGAGGAGGATGTCTGTGTATACCTAGAGCCTACAGCAACCCAGGAGGGGTGAGGGAAGGGAGGGCCCAGGCAGGCATTACTTGTTATAGAGAACAATGTCTGGTCGCCACACAAGACTGCTGGGGATGCGGATGGCATCCAGGCCACCATAGGCATCGGGGTCCCATCGTAGGTAAGCATCTGTCCATTCCTGTCGGATCCACAGGTATAGAGTCAGCACCTGGTTCCGCTCATCCTAGAGGAGGCAGAGAATGGGCAGAGACGTAGATACCCACAAACCCAACTTGTCTGTGCAGCACAGTTCCCACCCAGGCCTGACCTTGCTATGTGACTTTAGCAGATTCTTCTCTAGGTCTCAGTTCCTCAGCAGTTACATGGGTAATAATCCCTGCTAGGCAAGGACTCAGGTGTGCAAGTTGTGGACACTAACAATTAGTATCTATCAGTTAGTAGTTGTTAGTATTGTCATTAACATTAGCATTTACAAAAAACAATTGTTTGGAGAATAATCCTAGTCGCCTCGCCTCATAATCCCTTCCCCCATTCCTGGACAAGGTTGCAGACACACCTCACAGTGTACAAACCACTACAACATACCATGTCGATGATCTGGGACAGTGTCACCTCCAGGGTCACGTTCAGAGCTTGGTCTGTGTCTGCCACAGGCCTCAGGGCACTTGTGTAGTTGGCAAAGAGGTGACGGAACAGTTTGTGAGCCAGCCTGCCCTCGACCCCCAAGCATTCTGGGGGACAATAAGAGGGGTTGTCTGTCTGAGTCCTCTACTCATATCCTTTACCCATAAAGACAGAAACCCTGTCACCTGCTCCATTCTCCACTCTCTTCACACAGCTACAGTGTCCCCATGTCTGTACTCTCTTCCTCCAGCTGGAAGTCTAATCCCTCCCTGGTCTGCCTGAAAGAGTGCTGAAACTTGCTCCTTATTATGTATTCCCCATCTCAGCAAACAGCATCCCCCAGTGACCTCAACTGGAAATCCAAAGTTATCTCTCCCTTCTCCTGCCCTCTTCCTCTCCAATCCAACCAGTCCCCACGTCTTGTCAGTCGGATTACCAAACAGGTCTTGAATGTGTCATCTCCTCTCCAGCCCAAGTCTTGTCCTCCCTGATGTGGACCCCTGCTGCTGCAGTAGCCTTCTTACTGCACCCTGCTTCTCTCACTTAGACCCTCTAACCATCCTTCACAGTCCTGATAGATCATTTTTAGCGCTCCCCATTGCCTGCAGGATAATGCCTGAGCTCTCAGACTGGCTTTGAAGACCCTACATGATCTGGCCTTCCCCTGACTCTTCCAGCCCTGTCCCTTGGAGGATCCCCTCATTACTCCTACCTGAGTTAGGCCAGTCTCCTCTTCAGCACAGTCCCCCTCCCCACTCCCTAGGTAGTTTGCTACCAGCACAGGTAGTGAAGGAAGAAATTAAGAGTATGTGGAGATTGGTTGAGGAAGGATGGAAACAGCAGCAATCTGTGATCCAGGGTTGGCTTGCTGAGCTTCATACCTGGAAGGAGTAGGAACAGAAGGCCCAGGCTGGAGACAGAGAAGCGGAGGCTGATGTGGTGGCTCCAGGGACCCATGGCTCTGCCACAGCAAGAGGTAGGGCAAATCTCAGGGTGTGAGCCTCTTGGTCCGAACTAGGGCAGCGTTTGGTGCTGCTGGCAAGGATGGTGTAGATAAGACCTGTAAGTCAGAAGACAGCTCTCCGCTAGATTTAGCTACTCTCTGGGTGCATTGCAGCCCTTACATTTATCTGTCCCTATTTGTACTTGTTCCTGAATTCTAGCACTTAGTTCTTCTCTGTAGGTCCTCGCTTCTTCCTATTTCTGCCTCTGTTCTTTTCTCTACCTCTGTGCCCCTTTATCTTTTACTCAGTTTATTTCCTGTGGTCTTCTCTGTAATGCTTTCTTGGTTTCTCTTTGTTCCCCTAGTTCTGAACTTCATCTTTCCACTCTCTCCTCCTTTGCCTACTTCTGTTTTAGCCCTGGCTTCCTCCCTCCATGCCCCAAAGCTGAGCTCTGAAAGAGCCTGATTCTCAGCAGGGTAAGGGCAAGGGCTCCAGCAGCCCTCAGCCCTTTGAAGCATAGGACACCAGGCCCCTCCTAGCCCTTGCCCTTTCATTAGCTTAATTACAAGGTTGGGACATCTGTGCCCTGGGGAATTGAGCAACTGAAATTGACACCTCAGGTCACTGGGACCTGAATTATTCAATTCTGTAAGACAGCACCCAGGCTCTGCTTAGGCCCAGTCTGAGAGGTTGGAGAGTACAGGGATGACAGGTTTAGGATCTACAGGAATGGAGTCAGGGCCTGGGTTGGTAACTATTCTGCTAATTCTGCTGCCATTGCTGAATTCTGGATGTTCCTTTTAGACTGTCAGCTCTGCTCCCAATGAGGTACAAAATTTTGTGTCTGGTAATCTCTTTCCTCCAGTTGGGGATGGTGCTGAGCCTTGGGCTGCCATAGAGTATTCACAACCATTCCTCCCTGAACCTGTGTTCTCCCCATGCCTAAACACTGCAGGCAAATATTGGGTAGCAGGGAAAACATAGGTTTTAGTGTCACTTTAAACTTTTTCTTTTTAAAGATTTACTTATTTATGCATACAGAACTGGGTTACAGACCAGAGGTGCAGGGGCAGTAAGAGAATTCATCAGAGACAGAGTAGGGAGCAGAACAGACTGACGAAGTACACTGCTGAGGGCAGTCAGGAGAGGTCTGTAGTGCCATGTGGGTTAGCTCTCTGGCCAGGATGGAACTCATGCTGCAGTGGCTGTGGATTGCTTCATAGTGTTGAGACTTAACCCCTCCCACCACCTAGGATGCCCTAAGGGCAAAGAATCCTGGCAGATGTGCCACCAGATACATAGATGGCCCAAGGTGATTAATGAATAAAGTATTGGAATAAAATACTTCCAGATGCTACCACATGGATGAACCTTAAAAATGCTATGCTGGGCTCTCCCTGGTTAAAGCACCACACTATGAGGCTCTCCAAAGCCACTGCAGCATGGGTTCGATCCCTGACCAGGGAGCTGACCCACATGGTGTGGCAGACCTCTCCTGACCTGCCTGCTGCTATCCTCAGCAGTGTACTTCATCAATCTGCCTGTTTTGCTCCCCACTGTCTCTGGTGAATCCTCTCACCACCATACCTCTGGCCTGTACCCCAGTTCTGTAAGCATATTAAAAAAATATATATTGACTTAAAAGTCAATATATTATATGAAACATCCAGAGTAGGCAAATCCATATAGACTGGGTTTGGTTAGTGGTTCCCAGGGCATGGGAGTGAAGGGATATTGGAACTGCTAACAGCAATGGGTTTTAATTTATAGGGAATGGAAATGTTTTGGAGTAAGTGGTGTAGATTGCACAGTAGTAAATACAGTAAAAAAACACTGCAGCACTTCCCTAGTGGCACAAGGAGTCAAGTCTTAACAATATGAAGCTATTTGTAGCCACTGCACTCCCTAGCCAGGGAGCTGACCCACATGGCACAGCAGACCTCTCGGCACAGCAGACCTCTCGGCTTGCCTGCTGTTCCCCTGGAAGTATGTTTCAGTCAGCCTGTCTGTTCTGCTCCCTACTATCTTTGGTGAATCTATTTGAAATTAAAAAAAAAAATTAATATATATAATTTACATTGTAATTCATTTTAAAACCATGTTTACTTCCTCCCCCCCCTCCCTGGTTTGCCTGTGTACCACATTCCCTTGTGCTCTTCCCTCCCTTCTGACCCCTCTACCTCCCCACCCGTGCAGGGTGTCTCCGGTATATTATTGTCTGTTTTTGTTTTGTGTCTTCTTTTTCCCCTTGTCTTACTTGATTCCCCTATATTCCTACTGTAAGTGAAGCCATCCAATAGGTTCTTTTTCCTTTTTCCACTGAGCATGACCCCTTCTAACTACATCCATGTTGCTGCAAAGGGGATGAGTTTACCTTTTCTTTGATTGCTGAGTAATATTCCATTGTGTGTGTATATGTATAAACATCTTGATCCAATAGTCAGTCCATTTTGGGGTTTTTGGGTTGTTTCAGATTTTTCCTATTGTAAATAGTGTTGCAATAAACATAGGGGTGCATGTATCCTTTTGAATTAATGTTTTGTGTTCTTTTGGGTAGATCCTTAGGAGTGGAATTGCTAGGTCATAAGGTAGCTCCATTTTTAGTAGTCTAAGGAACTACAATACAGCTTTCCATAGTGGTTGTAGCAGTTTGTACGCCCATCTGGTAAATCTTTTCACCCCCACATATCTGGTGTATACCCCAGTTCTTGTACGCATCTTTTTAAAAGAAAAAAAAAACAAACCAAAAACACAACACTGTAGTATACCCTCCAAAATTGTGAAATTCCTGTTAAGTGAAGTATGTCTCAATTAAAAAAGTTAGCTATGTCTCACATTTCAAATGGGTGAAGAATTTTTTAAAGATTTATTTATTTACGCACACAATTACTGGGGTACAGGCCAGAGGTGTAGGGGGGTGAGAGGATCCACCACAGTGGGGAGTCAGGGGAGGTCTGCTGTGCCATGTGGGTCACTTCCCTGGCCAGGAATGGAACTCATGCTGCAGTGGTTGCGGATAGCCTCACAGTGCTGTGCTTTAACCTATTGTGCCACCAGGGAGGGCCCTAGGTGAAGAATTTAAATAGACATTTCTCAAAACAAAAAACAAAACAAAACAAACATTTTAGTGGACAATTAGCACAACAAATAATGCTCAATGTCATTAGTTAATAGGGAAATACAAATTAAAACCATAACTAGATACTACTTTATACCCACTAGAATGGCTGTAAAAGCAGTGCACAGTAACAAATGTTGGAGAGGGTATGGAGAAATCAGGACCTTTTTCATTGCTGGTGGAGATGTGAAGTGACACTGACTACCTTGTAAAAGAAATACCACCATTTGATTCCGTAATCCACTACTAAGTATATACCTAAGAGAAATGAAAACATGTTCCGATAAAAATTTATACAAGGAATGTTCATTTTCAGCTGAGTAACCCTTATCCTCAGAAGCCAAAGTAAGAGGGAGATCCCAGTCATGAGACAGACTTACTTAGCTTTCTCAGCTGTTTGCACTTGATGTCCTAGAAGTCTGTATCCTAGACCCTAAATGAAATACTCTCACATGGCCCTCTTTGATGGTACCAATGGGTTAAAGCACTGCACTATTAAGCTATTGCAGCCACTGCAGCATAAGTGCTATTCCTGGCCAGGGAGTGACCTACATGGCACAGCAGACCTCTCCTGACCTGCCCGCTGCTCCCCCCAGTTTATTTCAGTACATTTGCCTGTCCTGCTCCTCACTTTGTCTCTGTGAATCCTCTCATGCCCTGCATCTCTGGCCTGTACCCCAATTCTGTATGCACAAATAAATCTTTAAAAAAAATATTCATATTCTGTTAAAGAGATGAAAAAATGACTTGAGCAAGAAGGCTATGGATACAAAGTATATTCCATTGAGCATTGTGAGGCCCCTCCCCAGCCCCCTAATAGGAAACTCAAGTGCATAAATACATGTATAGCAGTTAGGACAAATCATTAACCTTAACCTCCTCACCCCTAATCTTGCCCTTATAAATCTAGCATATATCCTAGTTTAGCCCCAAATTATTCTCTTTAACCCATGAACTGTGTCTCCATTTAGATTTCAAATCAAGCCAGGCCACCATAAATCTTGAAGAAGGCTCCAAAACACAAAGGGAAAGCCAATACCATGAATGCTATAAACATTTCATTTTATTTTGTTTTTTTAAGAAAGTAGCTTCAGAAAGAGGAAAATAATCTAGATCATTTATTTATATATATATATATATACTTTTTAATAAAAACCTTTACATAATCTTCATGCATAAAGACCC